ACATTATTATGACTAATTACTGTTACTATGTTTGGTGATTACTGTTACTAATATTTATCAAATGTGATACTAATGTGCCGAATAAAATATATTGGTAGTGGTTTTTTACCAGTCTTTCTTTAATGTATAAATAGTGATCTGACTCGCTTTTGTAGAACTTCAGAAAATGAATTAATCTTTAATTAATGTTCTCAATTTGAGCATTTCTTTCTAGTCCTTAGCAAAATAAATTAGACTATACTGAAAATAAATCTCGTTTGTTTCAGTGTGATAATGTCCTCTGACGACCAATCATCTCCAGCGCAGACATCGATATCCACAACGAGTTTCGATGTGCTGGACAATGCAAGATTGGAGAAGATTAATATAACTCCCATAATGTCACAACCAACAAAACCCGTAGTTTCACCGACCACGAACATCGATGCCGATGCGATAGAGGAAGCAGTATCAATCGTGCAGACGACATTACCTATGCCGGAATTGCAACCGAAAATCGAGAAGAACGGTATCGAGACGAAAACAAAGAAATCTTCTGATGAGCCAAACGATGACTGTCTGATCAATTGCATTTATTATACACAACAGTGTTGCGACTGCACGATAGTTTGAGATCATTCAACGCTTCTAGCTAGATAATGCCGAAGAAACAGCGCCTCGCGAGTACTCTGATCAATTTTGGGGTTTCAAGATGCTGCTCTTCGACGCAAAATTTAGGATCTGACATTGCAATAAGTATGGCGCGCCACTAGAATACTTTGTGATACATATGAGAATTATATAATAGAAAAAAAATTCGATGGGGTATGACGTGTAGAAAATTTTGTGAATATGTACGAATGAATGTGTGATGTTCATAATTATATACATACAATTTTTGATACTGTCGTTATTTCGATAATCAAGCAGTGACAGTACGATTAAAGACGATCAATAAGAAACGCATGGGTAACTAATTAATTTATATTTTTAGAATATATTTGTCAGTGTGCAGAGAAAGTTGTACTTTTAATTTATGCAAATATTCACTGCCATTACACTGTGGTTAAAAATTGCATCGAAAGACAATCTCAAGTCAATTATTAGTCTGTAAGCATTCCCTTGAAATATGTTATAAGCAAGTTATTTGCTATACCATTACATGTCTTCCTAACAGTCTGACATTAATGTTAATGTCAATAATGCACACACAGTATTAATTGTGACAGTCGTTTAGACATTTATATTTGTTTGCAATTTTGTAAATTTACGAGCTAAGAAAACGGATCTGTAGTGATGTGGGAAGGTAGATCTATTTAGAAACGAAAGTAACATAAATAATATCAAATTTCTGACATTGATATAAGGATGCATTTATTACAAACGAAGAATAACCCGAGAAGTTCTTGTTTTCTTTTAATGTGTTAGAGGAGCTAAAAATAGTAGATAATATTTTCATAACGCAGCTGATGATTAAATCGAATTTTATTTTACAATCTCTCTCTGTCTTTGTATATTTATTTAATCTAACTATATTACCTGATAATATACAACAGTATGTTACGTTTTCTCAAAAGATTATTATACACGGATAAAATTATTAAAAACATAGCTTGCAGATGATTAAATATTTTTAACTTAGTGTTTTTTATGTTCTACAATATCATGATTATATGAATCGATTTAATCACTCTCGCGCTGTTCTAATGATATAGGAATTGCACAGACATTTCCAAAAATTTCATATAAATATTTATATAAATATAAATATTATATAAGTATTTATATTTTGATATAATAATCGGAGACTGCAAGTATAGTGTGTAATTTATTCAAATTTATTCATAGAGGACTAGATTAGTTTTGTAATGTTACAACATATGAATTTAATGTGAAAGTAATACTAAATAATATTCATTTTTTGAATACATCTCCTAAAAATGACGTTCTAGACAACTGAAGTTCTCAAAAGTTAAATTTTGAAAAATAAGTAAGTACAATAAGTGCTAAAAATCTTTTTATACTAAAAAATCAAGTTACATATTCTCATAAATGTAATAATTGAAAATCTAAAATATTAATAATATCTATTCAACATTATAGGCAGGTTCGATACTTTGGTAGGCGCAGCTAATGTTGTATATTTGTTTATTACTTGAAATTGTATTTTGTCAATGATAAAGCAAGTTAATCTGCAATTATTTATAATCTTTAGAATCGAAAAATGATGGAAAAATAATTTCCATCGTTTTATTTCTCTTCTAAACTAAACTAACTTTTTTCGCTCTAATTTTACTATTCATAATTGTCACATAATTACATGGCAATCTATAAAGTGAGGAAACGAATAAAAAACATTTCCATTTCGTGCATATATCAGATAAATAGAATAAAAACTAAGGAGGAATTTTACGTGACCTTAGAATAGCAGAATTGATTGTACTATTTTATTCTACAAGTGATTTTTTTCTAGAAGAGAGTTCCCACAATTAATGAAGGAAACGCAAGTGTTTGCAAAGTTTCATTAAAGAAACATTATGACGGATAAATGGACATTCCAAAAATAACTTAATAAAATAAGTGCGAAAAATTGAGAATTCGCTAGCTTAGTTTTGCTACTATTGCGTTACGATTCGTATAGAGGTAACGGATGACCCTCAGAATTAAATACCCACCTATCCAAATCTATCAATTGCCTAGTGTCATCAAATAACAAATACAAATATTTTAAAGTTTCGGCGAACCAGAAACTTTCCGTCATATCCTGCTGACGAGTGTGTTGAATATTCCGGACGTTACCGATACTCGTGTACCCACCTTCGACTTTGGTATAATTTTCGAAAGCCTGTCGAGACACGTTTTACATTACATAAATATAATAAAATTCCAAGAGGTGAATACGCACTCACCTGAAATATCTGCCAACCCCAATCTTGATAAGTTTTATTCCCCGTAAAATACCACATGTAAAATAGACTCTCGACAAATTCGGGCCTCAATAAATTATGAGCGTCATTCGTTTTTACGTACATATCCATTTGATTTTCACCCTCCATTTTCTGCAGAACCACAAAAGGATGATTATGAATCCTTTTTTCTCTGAACGCTGTTACTGCAGAATCAATTTTTTGTCCTATCTTTTATTGACAATTAGTTTTTCGAACTTACTTGTATATTAAAATAAGTAATCTCAGGTGCGAGGAACGTTGGCTGGATTGCATATGTATGATAACAAGTTTTAACAAGTTCTTCCGCAAGAATATTATGCTCTGACGGCAATCCATGATGCACACCTAGCGCTAAAGTGCCTCCTAAGTAGCATGTGAGATGATCCTGCAATATAGTTGCACATTTGCAAATTTGTGCAATATTCTAGTTTTAAGCGACCCTTAGACGATCAATATTGTTATACAATATTATTAACCATTTAGATTCTACATATTGAACATCTAAACTGTTTGTTTTGAATTGTTTAAAGGAGGGGGGGGGGGCATTAAAAATATTATACAAAATGAAATACACAATAATACTGAATGTCTAAGGGCTGCTTTTGATTACTCTGTATTTAAGCTATTTACCATTTTCGGTTTAATTTCTTTATTCGCGCCGACTAATTCAGCGATGAATAGATATTTATTGACCGCAGTATGTTTAACGAGATGTTTTTGCGTTCCGGCAATGCCGTTTAAGTAATCGTCGCGAAGGCTAAAAATATCAATACAGGCCTTAAATGTTATAAGTCAAGGATTTATTTTATACGATGATAACTTCAGTAATGAAATATACTGACTAGTCTATGGTTTTTCCAGTTTGTAACCACTGTTTCAATAAGTATTCATAGTAACTATCACCGCGAGCACCTAACGTAATCGTAGCGTATTCCCGAAATTGTCCGGTATTAGCGTTAATAAAAATTGGGACTAAACCATCATACTTTTCTAATTTATGTACATGTTCGGAAACTCTTGCCGCTGCAGCCTGGAAAGATCAAATAATAAGTATCCGTTGCAAATTGCTTCAAAAGTCTCGCTTCTAAAATTACCTCAAACTTAAGTTGACCTGTACTACGACTAAGATCACGAAACTCTAATTGAATGGAAGTAACTTCACTGGTGCTACTATCGGGACCCCACTTAGGACTATGCGCACTTCTAGTACCAAGATTCACGTCAGAATGTGGAACACCTGATCTGGTAGAAAATGCTGGCATCATACGATCACCTAAATCCGCCTTGGACATCATGGGGGGATAAATTAATATTTATATTTGAATTCTAGGACTTTAATCGAAAACTGAAATTATTTGGCCCAATACTTACAGCCTTATTTAAAAAAAGTATATCACCAGAGAGATGATATGCTGATAATAAACCACCTAATACCCTAATAGTAACTTCAAATAAATTAACATCTCTATTCCTTGTAAACACTAAATTCTCTTCCACCCATTTCCTTGCTCTTGAATATTCTAAAACATTAGAGAAAAGTAAGAAAACTCTTTCATGTTTCTTTTTCGCTAATAATGAATATCAATGATTTTAAGATTTAATTTATATACACACCATCATATAATCCCATTATATATATAGTATCCAATGAATCAACTATAGTAAGGCCTAAACCAAACCATTCGTGATATCTTTTTGATATCGGTTTGACATTATCGTGACCCCATGCATATTTTTTATACCCATTCCAAGAATGTTTGAATGCAGCTACGACAGCTTCTTGCTTGTAATTTTGAGGACCTAAAAGTCCAAACATTGTTATCTATGCCTATTTTGCAATCTAATCTAATTATGTCATATCATTTCATGAATCATGATCTACCACTAAATTTCAGGATGTTTGGTCTTGGCTGTGGTGGTTCACCAATTTGATCATCATCAACTTGATTAATTTCTGGTTGAAACTCGGGCTCTTCAATTACTTCACCAGGCCCAGCAGCCTGTTCTTCATTATCTACAACGACTTCATCTACTGCCTGTGAAATAAAAGGGAATTTGATATTTTTGTTTACGGATTCACACAAGAGCTCTCTTCGAGACACTGCGTACCTTCTCGTACTTGGCAGTTTCTTGTACAACTTCTACATTACTATAATCTACCTCATTGTTAGAGGTACCAGCTTTGGTTTCGCTAGGCAGGAGATAAAATATTACAAGTAGAACTGTGATTATTGCAAAGTACAGAATATTTCTTTGGAACCTGGACAATTGGTTCCATTGCTGAAAGAGAGACAAGTAGTTGAATAAAAAGGATAACTGTTTGGCAATCTCAGTTGTGCAGACTCAAAATAACATATGTTCGCGTTATTTTTCGTCAAATATATACGTACCCTCCATAAACTGCGAGAAGTGCCCCGTGCAAATGACCCGCTTTCGTGAATATTCAAACTAATGTAATCTGATTTACCCGAGTCTCTTGGTGAGAACATATTTCTATACAGGTTAACTCGTTCCGGCACGTATTGGAATTGATTGTGTTGCCAGAACACTTAAAATATAACACTGTGACAAATCAGCCCAACATGCGGAGGTCCTCATTTATGCGAGTATACATCAACGCGTTTTTACATTTTCATTAAATTCATATTATTATTGCTTTGTTAACGTGTACCCTGCACATGAAGTAGATGGCGTTCACGTGTTCTCTCTCATGTTTGTGTATGTATTGTGTATCATTCAGGGCTGTGTAAAAAGTGAGAGTGCACTTCAGTGGCCTTCAACGCTAAGAGACTGGAGTTTACTTAAATGTATCTATTTTGTACGTAAAAATAGATAGAAATGGATGAAATAAAAAAACCTTAAGGAGTTAAGAAAATATAACAAATAGAGAGTATAATTAAAATTATATAAAAAATATAAAAAGTATAAAAAAATTATGGCGAATCATGAGTTATCAATTATATATATTTGTCACAAATAATTAAATATATAAAAATTATTTAGTTAAATAAAAGATTGCATTATCGATATATAATTTTACATAAAGAAATTTAATCTTAACCAAATAGTTTTCTTATATATTTAACTTTCAAAGTGACAAATATATATAATTGACAGCTCGTGATTCGCTATAATTTTAATTATACTCTTTTTTTATTTGTTATATTTTCTAAAAACTCCTTAAGGTTTTTTTAAATACACAATTTATGAACAGAATAGGGTTCCAGCTTTACCTTTGCACTCGGGTCCCAAAAACTCTTTGTACGATCCTGGTACTATCTGTGTGTGCAGAATTCTTAGATTGTGTCGACACGTTGGAAACGATTGCCGGTTCGAACGAGATTTTAATGAAATAAACAAAGAAGTAAACGCAACAATCGCCAAGTAATTCGTTGTTTAATCAGTTTCAATAAAAGAACCGAAAATACAGACCACAATGTGCCTCGCAAATATATCCGGCGTGCCGGATAAACATTGGCAGCCACCCTTCGTTGTTTTCGAGACCACGTAAGTGCATCGTGTTTTCTAACTTAAAAGTCGCTCCCTATGCACCGCTAATCGATTCTAATTCTTAGGATGGGTGAAGTAACCTTCGAGCTATACTGGAAACATGCACCTATCACGTGTAGAAATTTCGCCGAGCTCACGCGACGTGGGTATTACAATGGCACCAAGTTTCACAGGGTCATCCGCGACTTTATGATTCAAGGTAACATTAGAAGCATTAGAATAAATTCATTCAAATTATTATTAAATTCATAAATTAAATTATAACGAATGTGAGTTATTTTTATAGGTTATAGGCTATTATTTCTATAGGTTTGCCTCTCCTACTCAATCATTAATTGTGACGATAACAAAAGTTTTGCAGAATACTTTATTCTTAATGGTTTCGTTTTCAGGCGGAGATCCCACTGGAACAGGGAAAGGTGGAATGTCCATATATGGCGAATGTTTTGATGATGAGATACATGACGATTTGAAACACACAGGTAATTTTGTGATTAACGATTATGATAAACTATATTGATAAAAGATTAATAATTTGTTGGCTGTGTTTAACAAAAGAACAGCTTTGCGACTATTGTAAAATTCTTTAATATTGATTTAATTTATTGGATATTAACTCTGAAATACTATGCATATTTTTCTTATCATTAACATTATTCTGGATGACAATTCATTGATATATAATTTAGAATTTTTTTACACATTTTCTTGTCAGCTTTATAAGTTACAAAATGTTAGAATAACTAAACACTATTTTGGCTGTGTTCCATTATTCACTGCAAGAACTGAAAATTTACAGTTCACTTACTGTTAAATTTATAAGTCAAATTATAACTAATGTAAATTATTTTTAATCATTTCGATATGTTGCCACTGTTTCTCTTTAATACGTTGTTAATTTAATTGCAACAATGAAATGTTGTGTATGTAATAATTGTTTAAAGTAATGGAATTAAGCAACTTAAACTCAAGAAAGTAAATTTAATCTTATTAAATATTATTTGAAGCTATCAAAATGTTATAATAACAAAAACTATCTCTATATTAATCTCAAAAAGTATATGAGTAAAAGTTTATTCATAATAGTGTTCCAAAGTTAAGGGCAAATATCATTTTAAAGAAATTTTTCTTACAACAGTTGCAAAATTGCTTTTTCTGTTGAATACAACCAATAACATTATTTCAACGCAAATACTTAAATTATGTAATATTAAAATTTGTAGGTGCTGGAATATTGTCAATGGCAAATTCTGGGCCAGATACAAATGGATCACAGTTCTTTGTAACACTTGCACCTACTCAATGGCTTGATGGAAAACATAGTATATTTGGTAAGTTAAATAATTTATAGTACTGATTACACTTAGTGATGTATAACTATCCCTTGTGATATAATTGATGTAAAATAATTTTATTCTTTTCTTTATGCTTAAACAGGTAGAGTTCATTCTGGCATGACGATAGTGAAAAGAATTGGACTAGTTGAAACGGATAAGAACGATCGACCGGTAGATGATGTTAAAATCGTAAAAGGTTCAGTGAAGAATGCATGAGTTTTTGAGGGAAATCTTTTATATAAGATGCAAATCATAATTTTTAGAATTGTGAAAAAAAAAGACATTAACTCATACATTTGTATCTCCGCTATTTTTTTTATAATCTATATGTTACGCAATCTATATGATAGAGCAATAAAGATAGATACAATAATTAATATGATAAGGGTAAAAATAGACATTTTTATTTCTTGTAACTTGCAGTCTCCAAAACTTTATTATTATCATCATTGCTAATTTATATTTATATTCATATAATATATTATGTGTAATATATTATATTTGTTATTATTCATATATTTATATTCATATAATTATTTAAAACAATTATTAAAAATTAATAATTCGTTAAGAAGAAAAATTTAATATTGTAACCATATTTCCTACATTTCGCGCATTTATTAACTTATAATCAATTCGATGTACTTTTAATATGTACTAAAAATACGAATAAAATAATATCCGAGTAAAAGATTTGTGAAAAATGAATCAATTTCCAAGTTTCCATGCAAAAGGTTATGTTGGCGTCATCTGTACTGATTTAGTAGCACAGTTTATCAACTGCTTCGTCGATAGTGCAGTAAACAGCACTTACCCATGGGGATGATCCTGCATCTCCTGCATCGATGTATCCAACAGATCCAGCGTCGCTATAATCGTTTACCTCCATCACTCACTCCACCGTTGGCCGAAACATTTCAACGGAAACACTATGCGATGCGACCTGGATACCTTCATGGAACAAGTTGGAATGGATTCCGATCGGAATTCATTCCGATTTGTTCCA